GTTGTTATCGGCTTCGATTCGGTTTTCGATTTGGAAGAAATAGTACCAAACTCAAACCAAATTGCATACGGTCCGGTTTCGGTTCAGTTTAGTTCAGTTTGGTACGGTTCGGTTCGGTTAAACCAAACCGTTATGCCCACCCCTAATCCAGACCATGTAAGTGCTAATTTCTGAAGATCACAGTGCTTAGATGTAATTAAAATAATCATCGACGCTTTAGTAAGCGATAATGTGATTGACCGATTCTTACAGAACAACAACATAACTGGACTCATCCCAGATGAGTGATAGACATATGAGTGGTCAGTCTATTAAATACTTCAATAGAGTCTATCAAAGGAGGAATAAGGGGGGTAGTTAGTAGTTAGTTAATAAGTCTGTTAACTAACTGTATACTTTCCCTGCGTGGAATATTAGCTACAAATAGAAAGTGAGATAGCTAAATAAGGCAGGTTGTTATTCAGTTGTTGGTTGGCTTGGAGAGTGGGCTTCTCGAACAGTCCCAGAGCTTGTACATCTACTTTGGTTCTCCCTATTGCAATAATATTCTCTTTCGATATGTTCTATAGTTAGATTTCTATAGAATTGTTGTTGAATTGCTTAGATTCATATCAGTGTTCTATCATAGATTGGACACCACCCTAATCTTCTATCTCTTGATCTTTCTAACAATCTTTTTACTGGGAAAATCCTTCTCTGGGTGCACTCACAAAGGCTCAAATATATGTAAGCATTTGTTAAACTTCAGAAATGGGGTGCTAAATTAATTGTCTAACGATAATAATAATGAAGTTTATTGTGTGAATTGGGAGACTCAACATCCGAGAAGCTGAGTGGGACCATGGCCCACCCTAAGTTCTGTAAACCCATTTTTATTTGTTTAAAATTTAAGTGGAGAAGATATGTATTATTTGAATTTATTTCTTGGGCCCACCTCAAATTCAAATTTTCGGGTGAACTCACAACGTCACTACTCTCTAATGTAATTTTATTATAGATACTGATAGAGTGCTGACAGATCAGAGGCGCAAGAAACAAGGATTAGTTGTTGACTGAGTCTTCATTTATATATTAATTATTGTTTATTTGTTTAGAATTCATAAACCACGGTCAGTTTATCGGGCTGCTAGTTTAGCCATAGAATTTGAGAAAAAGCTAGCCGAAATGAAGGGGGTTAGGCCCAATTCATACGCTTGCCAGATTCAGCCCACCTCCAGTACTAATCTCATTAGTCCAGCACATGATCAGGGAGTGACACCGGGAAATTCCAGTACGCTTTCTTCTTCGACAAACCCAAACAGTGCCACAAATTCACTTCCATCCGCAGCACGCTCGTGGGAAGCAACAAAACAGCAAAGGCGCGACAAGGGGCTGTGTTTCCGATGTGGGGACTCATTCCGACCGGGCCATCGCTGTTCTACTACATTCTCGTTATTGGAAGTTGTAGAAGACGAGCATTCAATGCCAAGTTCTTTAGAATCAGCCAAAGATGCAGAACGAGAACCCCCTGCAGTAGATGCCCAGATTTCTTTTAATGCCATCCTGGGTGATCCAACCACAACAACAATGAAACTGCGGGGTTTATTGGCTAACAAAGAAGTATTGTTGTTAGTAGATAGTGGCTCAACTCACAACTTCATATCAGATTCTCTGGTAAGTGAACTTGACTTGACAACCTCCTCTACTCAGACAATTGGGGTTCAGCTTGGTGATGGTCATGTTGTGCGTTGCAACTGTGTGTGCAAGGAGATTTCAGTACAACTTCCAGGTTTGGCCATCACCCAAGATTTTTACCATTTTCTCTTGTGGATTCTGATATGGTACTGGGAATTAAGTGGCTTGCATCACTCAATACCATCCAATCTAATTGGAATGATATGTTCCTCATTTTTTGGGTGAATGGGAAGAAATATAAGTTACAGGGAATACAAAAGAGAGATTGTCAACCTGCAAGTTTTAATCTTATGACCACAGTCGAGTCTACATCTAGTGCTATTAATGTGGGAAGGGTGTCCATGGAATTTGAGGCTATAGAACCTGTAGCTCTTCCTCCTTTCAAAAATCTGTTGGTGAAGAAACACCATAATTCAGTGCGTATGTGTGTGGGTTATCGAGCCCTCAACAAAATCACAGTACCCGACACTGCATTGGGCGGTCATGGTGGATTCCTTACAACTTTGAAACGGATCTCCAGTACTGTTTTTTGGCAACACATGAAAGATGCATATCAGCATGCTCATCCCACAGAAGAGGCTACGTGGGAAGACTATGAATTCTTAGTGCAACAATTTCCAGAAATTCGCCTTGAGGACAAGTCGGCTTTCAAGGGAGGGGGTAATGATAGAGTGCTGACAGATCAGAGGCGCAAGAAACAAGGATTAGTTGTTGACTGAGTCTTCATTTATATATTAATTATTGTTTATTTGTTTAAACGAGTCAGATAGAGAATAAGTGGGGTTTGGTGTCATGCATCAGTCCACTAGGCAGTTATTAGATCATGGGTGGAGTCAGTTAATGTGTCGGTTAATTGGTAGATCATGGATGAGTCAGTTATGTGTCAGTTTATTTCCTTCTTTATAAATAGCCTAGCCTTATTCAGGCTGAGGCATGCATGAATCAATATTATTCTCAGACCCGGAGATTCTCCCTTGGCTTCTACTATCACTCATATGTGAGATACTTGCTGTGAGAAGAGAGTAGGAGAGTTTAATCTTCCATATCTTTCCTTTTAATTTCTGATCTTAACAGATACAATCATGCATTTGCTTTACATTACATTACATTATGTTCCATCATGGCTTGCCAAGCATTGACTTAGTTTAAACATTTCATGAATTCATTCTATTTCTTGTATGGCTAAGTACATTCTTCATTCTTTCCATGTTAATTGCAGCATTGTAGGAAATCCTCTGATATGTGTCACCAGGTCCGAATCATACTGCAAAGGCATGGCTATGCTGCCTATGTCAATTCCAGTTGACACTTCAGGAAGTATGGATTTGTTATATGCTTTTCTTGCATATAATTTTGTTCGCTTAAAGCTTGTTTAGTAGTATTAAACGGTTCATTTTGCTTATATAAGAGCCATTTAGGTAAATTTATTTGACTTAAATGATTGAATCTTGAATTTTCTAAAAGTAAAGCTTTCCAGCCAATTATGTCTAATATTAGCAGAAATTAAGCTACCAAACAGAGCATAAGTAAGTAGAGCCTCTGACGTATGTGGTTGGCTGAATTTAATTCTATTAAACAATCTTTCTTTTTGGGAAAGATTGTTTACGTTAACTTTAATTTCTAGATAACCAGTCTTCTGTGATTCCTGCGAAACACAATAGCCCCAAGCTAGTCATTGCCTTAGGTTTAACCATTGGCTGTATAAGTGGCTCGTGTTTGGTTGGGTGGCCTTCAAGGCTTCAACCCTAAAAATGTACCTAATCCCAAATTTGAAGTAGTGGGGCCTGTGTCAATCCTATGGCCCTCAAACCTAGGATTGGTGCCTGACTTATGTTGGCCGTTTGATGTGGGCCCCACATATGAAGTGGTGGACCCATGTTGATCCGACCACCCTCCACTTATATAGAAAAAATAGATTTGTATTTCCTGTCGAAACCCACCTAATCCTACTTAGAGCAAGCCTAATCTTAACTCATCCCTAATCAGGCACTTTGTCATACCCTTCCACCTAGAGGAACATAGCGCTTTTTAAAATATTCAAAATTGATATTCTGAATTTTCAGGTTTACTACTTTTCTTAATTAATGATGGTCCATTTATTATTGGAAATTAATGTATCGTTTGGTTGCAACAGAAATACCAGGTTAAGAAAATTCAGAGAACCATGATACACTTGTGAACCAAGTAGGCTTGAGAGGCAAATATGATGAGATAGAGCTAGAGGAGATGGTTCAAGTTGCTTTTCTATGCACCCATTATCTTCGAGGCCTTTAGGCCCAAAATGTCTGAAGTGGTTCGAGTGCTCATAGGCCATGGGCTTGCGGAGAAATGGGAAGCATCTCACAAAGCAGAACAGTCACAGAAGTACGTGACGACACATGTTCTCATCATCGGAGCGTTTCTCAGATGTCACGAATGACTCTTCTGTGCTTGCTCAAGCCATGGAGCTCTCCAGTCCAAGGTGTGCCCTGAAGCCGAAGTGGATGCCAACTGGTTTTAAAGATCATGATTTTTTAGTACATAGAGTGAAGTGAGATTTTTAGAAGGCGGGCATATACATATGGCTAAAGAAGGCTGTCCCGACTCCCGACTAGAGTGTTTATTATGATGTTGCATAGGAGTGTAAGACGTACGAAATTAATGACATCAACTGGGTTTGGTTTTCCAAGTGAATGAGAACTTTGATAGATGGACATTCTTTGTTCAAGAAAACAATGATAATTTTAGGTTTGTTTATAACTAGACTAGATGATGAGAAAGGCTAACATGGGAAAATTTCAAGTGTTCAAGGTCAATCAATCCATTAGGGCATCCACATTGGTGAGATTTTTTTGGGATCATCTTGATGATGTGGAATATCTTTTTTGAGATTGTGGTTGAGTAGATAGATTATTTTGAAATATTATTTAGATAAAAAAATCTGGTATCAAATAAAAAGTATTGAATCCTAGATTATTCTCAAGTTCCAATAAACACATTTAATGCACCCATGTCTTTATTGGAATGTCTAAAATACCTCCTTGGAAATTACAAAAAATTCCATAAAAAACTAAATAAATAGAGATAAAAATTGAGGAAAAATTAGCAAGTGACATGACAAGAGAAAGACATGAAAAATAGAACATTTGAGTAGCATGAATGGACATGCTCTTAGATGCAACATGGATTGATGGATTCAGAAATTGGTGATGGGAATATGATGGAAGAATTAATACATTGAGATTGTGTCCGAGGAGCTTTGAAGGGTATAACCGTATACATTAATACTCGTTTGATACTTGTAGCATCTACATTTGATACTCGTTTTGCCCAATTGCTAAGTTTGATAGACATTAATTCGTGTTTCATAATGATTCAACAATTATTATCTCTTAATTAGCGTAAGTTTATAAAACTTCAGAACATGATATAATTAGGTTGGCAGCCAACCTAGTGACCAAGTGCTAATGTTACAGCTTGATGACTCCAATGTCGAACAAAAACCACCAGACTCTTCATAAATATCCTATGACTAATGGATGAATAACTTTGCGCAATTAATGTATGGGTAAAAAAGATGTAATACTTTCATGGTGGCATTTTCGACAGTGCTTATTTGATTTCTCAACAACCGTTGCTTCCTTGGAAACACCATTACCTCTACTACCACTTCAACATCTATGACTAAAACGCTTTCTATGAATAAGTGCATATTCTGTTCTCAAGCAATACTATTGGGCACCAAACTTCAGGCAACACGCTTGGGAAGGCTAGTGCGTGTACACTCACACACTCAGTCCAAGGAAAAAGCTCCATTGCAATACCTGTCACTGAATTTCTCAACAGCATCGTTGGCATAGAGAAGAGTCTCATTGGCCTTTTCAAGGACCATGTAAAGTTCCATCCCTCGTGTTAACCTAGCAATTACCCATGCCGTGTTTTTGGCTCTGATACATATTTCCTCGTCCTTTTCATTGCTTGGACCCTCACACTTTGATCTGTTTCTTTCCAGATCAACCTCTTCCCGGAGCTTGGTCATTGCAATTAAAGAGTCCTTAGTCAGAGTTGATACTTTTTCCGGAGGTGAAGCTCTTGAGATACATCGATCGCTGTCCACCAGCAAATAGCGGTACCCACTCACGTGGTATGCATTCTCCCCACCCCAACCTCTTGATAGTTTTTCTTCAACTTTGATTGCCTTAGCTGATGCTTGTTCTAAAATGTTCTGCTTCACCTCGGAAACCCCCCGCTCCCCATTGAGCACAGATGCAAAAGGAATGAGAAGCACGATAGTTAGGCTCTTATGCTGATAAGCACAAAGATATGCTCTTTCACCTGTCTGCTTAATCCAAACAGTTGGGGTAGCAAAATCTGATGTGCGAGCAACTTCAGCTCCCCAAAGGTCAGTTACAAGAAACCCATCTTTCCCCTTCGACCACTTGTCAGGCTGTAAGGGCCTCACAACATGATAACTGTGTGGAGAACTATTGTGTGAGGAGGCATTATGCTGATCAGGTATAAAACTAGAGCTTCCCAACAAAGAACCTCCAGAGTTATTAGATGAAGCATTTCCGTTTCGTAAATAAGACCAGGAGCGCAGTCCAGAAGACAAAGCATTTGGAGTCAGCCTCAAGACAGCATAGGTAAATATATTTACTAAGTCATCCTTAGAAAGTGTTGTTGACACCAGCAGGTCCTGGTACATGATCAGCGAATAGCAATTCGTGTTCTCAGCACAAGATTCCAACACCCTGACCAGTGACTGAACTTCAAGAGCGGCCTCCCTCCCAATAGTCAACATATGTACAGTACCTCGTTCCTTCAGGGAATCACGAAAATTTGGCAACTGAAGCCTCTTGCCAACAAGAAAATCATTTAAATAATCTATGAGGAAGTAATACAAGTGGGTCCTGACTAGTTCTCCGCTTGGTTCTTTGTCTAGCAATGCTCTTACAGATCCATGAAACATCACAAAAAGGGTGTGAAGTTCCATAAGAACTCTTTGTATTCCATCAATGCGCCGAATGCTTTCTAACTCCCTGCTTTTCTCGACCACCATAACCATCCAGATATCTGGCTCTGCCTCATAAAATACATGAGAGTGCATCTCTGCTTCTATAGTCTCGCATGGTTTCTCTGGGGAGAAAATTCTTGTAAACGTTATGAGGCCTTCACTTAAGCCAATAACAGAGAGCTGGTAGGAAAAGGGACAATCAGCAGGATAGAAGAACAAGATTTTGTCCAGCTCCTGCCCTTCATGCTGTCCCCTTCTCAAATCAAACATGCATAACTTCATCCCTACACTAGCAGTACTAACAGCTGACATTCCCATGCTAATAAACTCCAAGCTCCAAATTATTTGGCTTCTTGGGGCGGTCTTTTATATACTCTTCGATGACATATATCTCTTTCCAATTTTATTTGTATTATTTGGCCAGCTGTATCTTCCAAAAAAAGTAGAGGCGGTTAAACTAATTAAGCTCATATGAAGGGGAGATGATCTCTGAAGTACAATGAAGTCGAGGTCTGCAAAACAAAAAACATCATTTATTAGAAATATAATAAAGCCTTGTGTTTCTGTTTGGTTAGTTTTGACTCTATAATATGTTTCCGGTGTATGAACAAGTCATTAACCTTTATTTTTTTAAAAGCATTTGAGAAACCGCAGCAAGCCATTAACCTTTATTATTCAAGACTTAGCACACAATTGACATTTTCTTCTCTTTCACTGCAATTTCTAATTCCTTGTTTGCTGCAGTTGTAAAGTAGGGACTCTGCTGCAATTTGGATTTCTCTTGTAACAAAAAACAGTAACTAGTTGCTGCAATTGTTTAATACCAAAGCAAATATAGATTTTCGTGATTAAAGTAGATGCAATTGCTGCAGTTGGCAACCGCTACAAATATGATTGTCTACATTTTTTCTTCCCATGCTTTTGTTGCAATCAAAACCAACCACAAATGAATTAAAAAACTGCTGCAAATAAAGGATATTACGGTAGTGATACACACACACACACACGAATGTTCCTGTCCGACCAGGCCGGACAGGACCCTGGTCCGGCCGTCTCAATTTGAGGTGGTTCCCGGTGGTATTTTTTGCCCAAATTTTTTGTGTATGTTCCTCGTCAAGTCTAGTTCATCCATACCAAATTTGAGCAAAAAATTCAATCGGGAAGGCCATCAAATGATTTTTGCAAGTTAATTGCGTTTTATATGTATATTCCGGACCAGTTAACTTGCAAAAATCATTTGACGACCTTCCCGATTGAATTTTTTCCTCAAATTTGGTATGGATGAACTAGACTTGATGAGGAACATGCACAAAAAATTTGGGCAAAAAATACCACCGGGAACCACCTCAAATTGAGGTGGCCAGACCAGGCTCTCTCTCTCTCTCTCTATATATATATATATATATATATATATATAGATATATATATATATATATATATATATATATATATATATATCCCTTACTTGGAATACTACCTTTTCTTGTTTGAAATGTTGATTGATTATGAACCCCCAAAATTTCTGGCTTTTTTAAGAGGCAGTCAAGATTTGGAATTGCATTTCAGAATTGCTTAGGCTAGTAAGTGAGTAAGTGACTAAGTGTTAATAATGTGTGTGAATATTTGAGTCCCTCCTGGGACTAAAGCTAACAACTATTGATTATTATATAAACTGTGAGTAGTGGTGATAGAAAAAATGTTTATGTTTGTCTGGAGGCCCAGAAATTGCTAGACAAAAGAAGTAACAACGATGGGATATCTAAGGCCATATAATTTATAAGAAAAAACAGTATATGTAAGGGTAAATCACTGACAATTGCCCCTACTTCGTAGTGGCAAAGCTTTGATTGTAGTGTAAACAATTGTGGTGTGAAGAATTATGCATATGATGGATCACACTTAATCTCTGAATTTCAGGTAAGTTTTTGTTAAATAAGTTAAAATGACTGATGCGAAAACTTTGCACCCAATCTACTCTTCCGTTGACAAATTAAATGACCAAATAATTCTTTTGCAAGAATGATATTTAACTGATCTGGAAAAAAAGAAAAGCTTCTATCACAATTTAATTACATGAAAAATTGTGCGGATTTCTATTGAAAATTGTTCTGATAATTCAAATTAAATTTTACTTGTAGGGTATAAGTAGTTTATCCGTATCGCGGGAGAAATATATGTAGCATACCTGGGGAAGTGAAAGTCGAAGACTTCAAACTGGTTCTCACCTCGAATCAGGCCAAGCTCAGTCCTTATCTTCTTCCAGAATTCTTCTTCTTCTTCGTCAAGGCCTAGAATTTACCCACACTTCTTGCGGCAGTTTCACAGCAGAGGATTGCTTCTTGCCCGCTTGGAAATGTCGAATCAGGGTATTAGTCTAAGTGTCTAACCAGCCCAGCCCAAATATTTTTTATTAGTATAGATATTGGTTTAATCCGGCCCATACCAAAATGTCCCGCCCCAACTTATTCCACAGGTCGCAGCCTCACTTGTCTGAGTTACGGCTTCGCAGTTAGCACTTTGCACGCCTACCTGTGGCTCGCTGCGGCTCTGCCTCTTCATCTCTGTCCAGCCGTCCAGGACTCAGGTATACTCAGTGGTCTAATACTCTTTTAATATATTATTTTGTGACTTTTTGTATTATTATTTTTAGTTTTGTGATTATATTTGATTATTGATTGATTTTTCCGCAATAAAGTACTCCGTAGTGTTTTATCATTATAATGATTAAAGATATAATTAAAGATTAGAGAATGATATACGGAGTATATGTTATACAATTGAAGATTAGAGAATGATATATTTATTGTTTGGACATGTAAGAAAGAATTAAATATGGGTTATATGCATAGTTTTATTATGCTAAATACTTTTTTTTGCATATCTGCTCTAGTTAATGCCTACATCCTTGATTGGGATGAAACTCAAACCTGTGACTTCCTCTTTGAAAGATCAACCGTGATGTCATTAGACTACAAAGTACTTGTCATTATGCTGAATACGTAAAAATTATATAATTAAAATTATAGTAATTATTATTGAGAACATGGTCATTGCAGATTTTTGCTGGTAAACTGTGAAAACAATGGGACATATACAATGGAGATAAATTTTCATGTAATTTGTCAAAAAACTGAAAAATATCTAGGAATACTTCTTAAACTGAACTTTTCTGACTTTCTTTTTTGATACTTTCATTTTTAAAGTAAATAATTTATTGTTCTCCTTATTTCTATCAGCAGTATAACTCTTAACTATAAATTTTGTTTTTCGTATTCCACACAGGTAATTCAAACTTGACAACTTTCAATGGGAGGGTAGTAATGGTAAAAAGTCCAAAATGTATGAGTTGGATGCCACCAAGCTGAACAACCCTGATGTGCGGTTGCCTAAAACAAGCCATTTGGGACGCTCTTATGACAGCAGCTCGCGGAGTGGTCCGGAAGCAATCAAAGAACTGGTGCCAAGCATGAATCCGAAAATCCATGGGTTCCCAGCTATACATAACCAGGCTATTACTACTTCCACCAAAGCCTTCATTCAGATGGTTTCCATTTCAACCTTCAGTACCATTCCGTACAGTGACTACATTTGCAGCCTCCCAATCTTTCTCCGCATACAACCGAACATTCTCTCACATTTTCCAAGAATGTTCAAGGCAAAGAGCCACATTCGCTGGAAAACAAACCCATGCTCAAATGATCATTTCTGGGTTCGAACCCACCATATTTGTCACCAATTGTTTGATTCAAATGTACATAAACTGCTCCTGTTTCAACTATGCTGATAAAGTGTTTGATAGGATGCCTCAAAGAGACACCGTGACATGGAATGCAATGATTTCTAGGCATTCGATGGTTGGTGATTTGAGTAAGGCACAAATGGTTTTTGATCTGACGCCAAAGAGAGATGTCATATCCCTGAATACTTTGATGTCAGGGTATTTGCGGAATGCAGACCATACACAAGCTATTGAAATTTTTGTAAAAATGCGGAAAGAAGATGTTTCCTTTGATAGAACTTCTTTTGCTGTTTTACTGAAAATTTGCTCAGCTTTGGATGATTTCGGTTTAGGGCTGCAGGTGCATGGGTTGGTAACTAAAATGGGATTAATTATGGATGTGATGATTGGAACTGCAGTTGTGGACATGTATGCCAAGTGTAAGAGATTAGATGACGCGGTGTGTTTCTTCAGTGACATGTCAGAGAAGAATTCTGTTGCTTGGAGTGCTTTGATTGCAGGCTATGTTCAAAACAACCAACTTTTTGATGGACTAAGGCTTTTCAAAAGGATGCAAAATGAAGAAGTTGTTGTTTGCCAGTCTACTTATGCTACTCTCTTCAGATCTTGTGCAGGGTTGTCTTACCTAAGTTTTGGTTCCCAATTGCATGGTCATACACTGAAGACCAATTTTGCATCTGATATTATCGTAGGTACTTCCACTCTGGACATGTATGCTAAATGCGACAAGTTAATCGAAGCTCGGAAGGTATTCGACCTCTTACCAATCCGCACTCTACAATCTCATAACGCATTGATTGTTGGGTATGCTCGAGGAAATGAAAAGTTTGAAGCTTTAAGGGTATTCTATCTTTTGATCAAATCTGGTCTTGGTTTTGACGATATAACCTTATCTGGCATATTCAGTGCTTGTGCAGGGATCAAAGGGCTTTCACTGGGAACTCAAATCCATGCTATAGCGATTAAGACCCCTTTTAAATCCAACATCACTGTAGCAAATGCCATTCTTGACATGTACGGGAAATGTGGAGGACCGTTTGAGGCCCGTCGTCAGTTTGATGAGATGGAGTTAAGGGACGCTGTTTCCTGGAATGCCATCATTGCGGCATATGAGAAGAACGGGCTCACAGAGGAAACCTTAACTCTCTTTCTCGAAATGATTCGGTCAGAAATGGAACCCGATGAGTTCACTTATGGCAGTGTTATGAAAGTTTGTGCAACCAAACAGGCCCTGCAACATGGGGAGGAGATTCATGGAAGACTCATAAAGTCCGGATTGGGATTCCACTCATTCGTGGGAAGCTCTGTTGTGGATATGTATTGCAAGTGTGGTGAGCTAGAAGAAGCCAAGAAGCTTCATGACAGAATGAATGAACAAACCATTGTTTCTTGGAACTCAATGATTTCTGGGTTCTCGATGCACGAGAGAAGCGAGGAAGCCCAAAATTTCTTCTCTAAAATGTTGGGTAAGGAGGGTGTGCAACCAGATAACTTCACTTATGCAACAGTGCTTGATATTTGTGCTAATATGGCGACCATTGGACTTGGGAAGCAAATCCATGCCCAAATCATCAAACAAGACTTGCTTTCAGATGCTTATATAATCAGCACTCTTGTGGACATGTATTCAAAGTGCGGGAATCTTGAAGCCTCCACGTTGGCGTTTGAGAAAGCGTTGAAAAGAGATATGGTGACGTGGAACGCCATAATATGTGGGTTAGCTCAGCATGGTTTTGCCGCAGAAGCTTTGCAGGTTTTCAAACGGATGGAACGAGCGGGTGTCGTGCCAAACCATTCAACATTTCTCGCAGTCCTCCGTGCATGTGTGCATATGGGGCTCGTTGAGAAGGGTTTGCATTATTTCAACATGATGCGGGAGAAGTATGGGCTGGAGCATCAAATAGAGCATTACTCATGCATGGTGGAAATATTAGGACGCGCGGGTCGGGCGACTGATGCTCTTATGGTTATCCGGGAGATGCCCTTCACGGCTGATGATGTCACTTGGAGAACATTGCTTAGTACCTGCAAAATGAATGGGAATGTTGAGGTGGCTGAAGTGGCTGCGAATTCTCTTTTGCAGATGGACGCCACAGACTCGGCTACATATATTCTTCTGTGTAACGTTTATGCCAATGCAGGAATGCAGGAACGGGTTGCCGATTTGAGGAAGGAAATGCGTTTTGGGTGTCTGAAGAAGGAGCCTGGGTGTAGCTGGGTTGAGGTGAACTCTGAGGTGCATATGTTTCTTGTTGGGGACAAAGCTCATCCTAGGTGCACAGACATATATACAAACCTGGATTTGCTGACAAGTGATATGAAGTTGGCTGGATATGAAATGGATGGTGAATTTGCACCCATTTCTATTTGCATTTAGGAGTGGGCAGAAAAAACCATAACCACGTAACCGTTTAAAAAACAAAAAACCATTATTTTTCCGGTTAACAGTGTCGCTTTTTAAAAAATCACAGTACAGTTAACCATTTAAAATGAAAAAATGGTTTAACGATCGATCGGTTCACCATTTTAAAATTAATAAGCTTCTGTTTACCGAAGTAATCTATCCAGCTACCCTAACCGCTCAACCAGGCCAGAGAAAACAATGCCTTTCTACTTCCATCTTTGTCCAGAGCTGCCGGTCTGATTTAATCTAGACGATCGATCTCTTCTGCTCCATATCCAGGTATTTCATCCTCCATGCTCCTTTTCTCACATTCAATATTTGATTTCATCACCTTGAATTATACAGATATATTCGTGACTTTTTCTATTTGCTTTTGTTCTTTTTTTCTCGACTTTCCTTTTTGTTAAATAAGCCGTATGCACCCCTTTGCTGAATTTGGGAACTTCCCAGTTAGGGTGTCTCACTGATCTGAGTCATGATTTTTGGCATATCTGAAACGAACTAATGGAGTATTGGCTTCCCTCTGTTTATATAACTGGGCTTCCACTTTCAAGAATATGTATGAAATAGTATCACTATGAGTCGTGAAGAATTAGAAACTAGAATTGCCTACATTTGACATATTTTTTGCCAATTCCCTGTTGGGTGTTGAGAAGCTTTAAGAAGAAGAATCTACTTTTTGAGTGTGTGGATAACTTACCTGTATCAAGAAATTATTGTGGTTTAGAGAGTGAACTAGAAGGTGGGATAAAATGTGTTTTTTTGTTTGTTCTGTGCAGGATTAAATGATTAGTGCTTGTTACTGGATTACAGTTTGATTACTTCAACCAACTAGCTAGTTTAATTCAAACCATATTTGCCATAATATTTTTATTTAATTTGATGAAGCTTTATATCATCAATTTTACAATCTCTACCCAAACTTTTTAACATATTCTCTTGGTCAGACGCTTAGTGTGGAGTATGCATTCTTTTGTGTTGTTACATACTACTTAACTTTACTTATCTTATCCATTAATAGATGTCAGACATCAATAATACTGAATTATGGCATATATTTGAGTCAGTATAAATTTGAAAATGTTTCAGTTAGCTGGAGTTCTAATTTGCTGAGTCTAGCTTTTGCCTTTAAATGCTTATTTTTTGTTATACACTTGACTTTACTTGTGTTTTCTTTTAATAGATGTCAGACATAAATCCGAT